GTGCTGGGATTACAGGCATTTACCACCTCACCCAGCTTACTTTAAACTGTTACAAAAACGAGTTGTATTTCTTTCACCCCATCAGCAGGTTCAAGTTGCAGCTGTCTTACATTCAATTAGGATAAAGCAATGTGCAATTTACTATACTCAAGCAAAATTTATAGCTTTCTGTCAATAATTTAATACTTACATAATAATGAAATCCACCAATATTTTCATTTTAAATTGCTTTAAATTGTTTGGTTAACAATTTAAAGCAATTTAAATTGTTTCATTAAAAGCTTAATGAAATTGAAAATTTAATTGAAAGAACACTAGTTAATAAAACATAAAATGTTTGATATGAATACAGTAAAATAAAAAGGCCTCAATAAAGAAACTGGAAAAACACACACATGTACAGATGTACATGTGCAAAAATTAAATGACTTTCTTCCAATTCTATAGTAGTAAGTGAGTTAAATGCTAATGCCATCACACATAAACTACACCTCTTCTATACTTACACAGAGACAAAAATGTCAAGGTAGAGAATGGTTATATAGTCTGCTTTAACTGAGTGCATAAAACTCCTGTGGAGTGAAATGTCATTTTTATTTTCTAGTCTACAGATGAAGAATATAAAACTCAAAAAAGGAACTTTCTGGAACTCAAGGCTAATAAATGCCTCCTTCTGCTGTATCTATTGCTCTTTCACGTTCAACTTGTATGCAATCAATAGTTCATCCAGTGAAGGAGGACACAACAGCTTCAGCACTTGCCTCTAGGTTCTTGAAGAGAACAGCATCTACCTTGCTTTCACCAGTCTACACATGTTTAATACATTAAAAACTCTACATCATTGTTGAATAAATAAATTTTAGAATGAGACACATTTCATAGAACAAAATAACTCAAGGTTAGTAAATATTTAAATAATAAGCACTATGTACCTGACCAAATGAAGCAGTTAAATCTAAAATTGAAAATAAAAATTTTAAATGTTACTATTATATATGAATGTTATTACTAAGGATCATATGACAAGTGGATAAGCACCATATACCAAAGAATCCTTAGTCGTGTTAGATGACTCATATTCATACTGGCTTGGCTAAGATGTAAGCCACCTGTCCCTTTCACTTTGATAAAATAAACTACTGCTGTGGAAGGTAATCATGCATATAAGATTTCAAAGGGGATATATATAAGTATCTTTCTGCCAACATCTGCTTTCAGTGCATATAATACAGCGTAAGAAAAACAGGGACTGCTTCTGTGCATCTCAGGGATTTTAAAGAATAAACTAATTATACTATCGCCTTATCCAATCCAGAATGAACAATTATGCTACAGGCTATCAATAAATTACTACTGTTAACATTACCCTCTAAAACCTTTCATCGAATGTCAGTACTCTTCTAATCAGGCTTCCCTCTGCTGTGTAAAAGAAAGTAAACTGTTGCTTGTCATATTTCTATATCGTTTCCATAGCAAAGCTTCGTGCCTGCTTAATTTAACTTAGACTGGAGGGTAAAGCCTGAAGGTCACTACAGGACACACTGCAGCTACCTTAATAGCAGCAGTTCCAATATCAGTCCTGCCAAATTACTTAGGAAGGGCCTCTGAATCAGAAACAATTGCCTTTCATCTATGAGGCACTGGGTTTGGTCTTCAGCATAGCAACAAAACAGAAAAGAAAAAAGCTGATTTACCACTATTTAATCTATACTCTTTTATTTTTACTTTTTAGACAGAATCTCACTAAGCAGACCAGGTTAATCAAACCGCATAATATAAGCATTTTTTCCTTCGTGAAAGTTACAAAAATTCCCCATCTATCAGCACCTAGATTTCACAAATGTAATATAGTATGTACTTACAGCACTGAATTCTATTGAAAAACACCAGGCAACTAACACTGGCATAATTGTTGACTATAGTCCCACACAGTTTCCACATATTTTATATGCATTCTTGTATGTCTGTTTGGCAGTATGCATTTTTATCAGAGGCAGAGATTTAAGAAATTGCTATGCTGCTAAAGATACAGACATATTCCATCACCACAAACAAATTTTCTTGTGCTACCCCTTTATATTTGTGACACTTAAACTCTGTTTCCTGGTAACTATTAATCTGTTCTGTGTTTCTACAGTTTATTCAATTTTTTAAATTTTATTTACCTTTATGTTATGTGCATTGATGTTTTGCCTGCATGTATATCTATGTGAAAGTGTCAGATCTTGGAGTTACAGATAGTTGTGAGCAGCCATGTGGGTGCTGGGATTTGAACTGGGTCCTCTGGAAGAGCAGTCAGCGCTCTTAACTGCTAAGCCATCTCTCCAGCCCCCAGTTTATTCAATTTAAGAAAACTATATAAATAGAATCAAAATAAATCTTTTAAAAGAGCAATTAAAAAAAAAAAAGGCTGGAGAGATGGCTCACTGGTTAAGAGCACTGTCTGCTCTTCCAGAGATCCTGAGTTCGACTCCCAACAACCACATGGGGGTTCACAACCATCCATACTGGGATCTGATGCACTCTTCTGGCATGCAAGTGTATGCAGATAGAATACTCACATATGTAAAATAAGTAAATAAAGAGCTATTTAGGGGCTAGAGAGATGGCCTAGTGGTTAAGAGCTTTGTCTGCTCTTCCAGAGGTCCTGATTCAATTCTCAGCAACCACATGGCAGCTCACAACCATCTATAATGTGATCTGATGCCCTCTTCCAGCACGCAGGTGTACATGCAGTTAGAGCACTCATACATAAAATAAATAAAAAGTTATTTAAAATAAATATATAAATAGAATTATACTGTGAGATTTTTTTGCAAACAGCATACTTCCAAAGAAAACCATGAAAACTGGGTGTGGTGTTATACTAAGGACAGACCAAAATACCACAGAGAATCACACAAGTTGTTGCAAATATCAACTATTTGTTCCTTCTTACAGATGGGCAGTAGTACCTAATAACTATACTAGAGAGTGTTTAACTATTAATCCACTTGAGTTGTTTCTAATTTGGGTTCATTACAGTTATGAGTGTTGGTATTCAGATTATTGTGCATCTTTTATAACTTTGTTTATTGTTTCTTTTCCCCACATCTTTTTAAAGATGCAGTCTCACTTTGTATCTCATGTTGTCCTACACCTCATGATGAGTCACAGGCTAACCTTGAATGACAGTGATCCTCTTGAAGGCTGGGATTACAAGCAAGAATCACCACCAAATGGCTTAAGATTCAGCATTTCTTAGTTTTACTTTGGTTTCTTTTTTTATGTTGTAGTCCATCCAAGTGAAATCAAAATTTAAAAATCTTGATTCAAAGCTTTCAAATATGAGACATACTTAAAATGTCAACTATGCAAATATTATATAATTTTATTCTAGTTAAGTTAAAAGTAAACAAATACTTTAATCAAAAAAATATTCTGTATAATTATATCTGCTATGGTTTATGTGCATATCCTCCAAAGGCTATTGGTTAAAGCCTTTGTTGCCAATCCATGGTGCTGTTGGGAAGTGGCAGAAACTTTTTTCTTGTTTTCCCACCCCATCCCACCCCCCGCTCTGTGTAGCTCTGGCTATCCTGGACTCTCTTTGTAGACCAGGCTAGCCTTGATCTCACAGAAATCCATCTGGCTCTGCTTCCCCAAGTGCTGGAATTATAGGTGTGTGCCACTGGCTAAGTGGCAGAGACTTTTAAGCACGGTGGTTAGTTGGAAAAAAAAAAAAAATTAGTTTACTAAAGCATGGTTGATAGGGGAACATTTTGAGAAGCAGTCCTTTTCCAACTTTCATTTTCAATTAGAGCTTCTGTAAGGTGAGAGTCTTCCTCCCCAATGTGCTCCCACCATCCTTAAAAAAATTAATGAGGTTGGAGGATGGCTCCACAGTTAAGAGCACTTGCTGTTCTTGCAGAAGACTTGGGTTCAGTTCTCAGCATGCACATCCTAAGGCTCACAGCTGCCTATAACTCCATTTCCAGGAGATTCAGTGCCCTCTTCTGAGGGCACCTACAGACAAGCAGGTACATGCACAAATATACATATAATAATTTTTTTAACTAACTCATCTTTCTAGATAACTACCTAGATATCTAGATATAAAATTCAAGACACTCAATATAAATTCAAGACAAGGAGAGTGGACAGCTGAAATGTTACTAAAATGTTATCAGGTGTTGCTTATTTTTCAGGGTGACAAATTTGGGGTAATCTACTGAATTACTCTTTCTTCTTTCTGCAGAACTTTAATTTGTTATGTGTCTGTGTGTGTGTGTACATGTATCACATGACATGAATGCACATAGAGTTCCTGTTTTACTTTCTGTCTTACTACCTTGTGACTAGTTTGTCACTGAACCTGAAGCTGGCTCTTTTGACTAGGCTGGCTCGCCAGAAAACTCCTGAACTCAACCTACCTCTACACCCTAGTGCTGAGAGTTACAGGCACATGCAGCCAAGGCTTGTTTTTTAAATCATTGTTGGAAATTCAAACTCAAGTCCTCATGATAACAGAACATGCTCTTTCTCCACAGTCATTTCCCCCATCCTGTATCACTTAATTTTAAATGAGAATGTGCTATAATTACAAACACAGTATACTCTTTTGTTTTGTTTTTCACAATAGGGTTTCTCTGTGGAGCCCTGGCTGCCCTGGAACTCACTCTGTAGACCAGGCTGCTCTCAAACTCAGAGATCCACCTGCCTCTGCCTTCTTAGTGCTGGGATTAAAGGTGTGCACCACCATCACCTGGCACTATTCTTTTTAAATCAGAAAAACAGTAATTTGAGCACCAACATCTTATTTCCCCAGATGAAAAGTCATTTAAGAAGGATTTTCCTAGATTAGCAAAGAAAGTTCAATGCAAAAGTACAGCCATATCAACAAGCACACAAAACAGAAGCTCTCCAGATGTGCATTTTCTCTCTTTTAGCTAAATCAATATACTCCTCCAATCATAAACATGTATATGATATCTATAAAGAAAAACTCCAAAGGCTCATACCTTCACAACAGGATGGCCACCAGTAGAGGCTTTCACTGCCCCTCGGCTACCTTCAGTTTCATAATGGGCTCGATGATGAGTTTTAGGTTGCACTTCTATTTTCAATTCACATTGTCCAAAGTGAGTTGGTAAAGGCCAGTCTAATGGAGGTAATGAAGATGTGCTATAAACAAAACACACAAACAATTTTATCACATTGTCACTACCGAGATGACTTAAAGATTCAAAGCATCTCTTTGCCAGTTCAGTATCCCCCCAACAAGTGGTTTTAAAAAAACAAACTATTCCAAAATCAACTTATTTCACTTAGTAAGTTATAGTACTGATCATGGTAGGTATTTAATAGGCTACTTTTTGTTTTTGTTTTTGGAGACTAAGTTTCTCTGTGTAGCCTTAGCAGTCCTGGAACTCTGTACTTAGCAGTACAGAACTCGCTCTGTAAACCAAGCTGGCCTCAAACTTAGAGGTGCAGAACTCAGAGATCCACCTGCCTCTGGCTCCTGAGTGCTAGGATTAAAGCCATTACCTGGCATCACTTCCACCAGGCTGTAGTCAATTTCTTACAGCAAAGATATTCATCCATATCTGTATATATCGATATATATCAATATATATTTCTATTTATTTATTTTTATTTAATGTGTATGAGTGTTTCGTCCATATGTATGCCTGTGTACCATATGCATGCCTAATACCTGCAAAGGCCAGAAGAGGGCATTATAACCCTTAGAGCTTGAGTTACAGATGGCTGTCAGCTGCCTGTCAGTGCTGGGAATCGAATCTGGGTCCTCTAGAAGGGCATCAAGTACTATTAACCACTGAGCAATTTCTCCAGGCCCCAAGATTAAGTACCTTCAAAAATCTAAATGTTTATGTTTTTTTAAATACTTATCTCTCTCCCATCTGATATGGATCTGTGGAAAGAAATTTTTCATGTTTGTGGGCCTCCTCTACTTTCTATCATTTCATTCTTCTTCTGAAAAACTGCTTATCTCAAGCAATCCACTCAAGCAAAAACCAAACCAAACAACCAAAAACCAAGTGGAGAAGAAAATGAGAAACGAGGAAGATATCCAACGTCAACCTCTGGCATCCACATACACATACATGCACACGTGTACACATAAACACACAAAATATAGAACAAAAAAATTACTTACATATCTACAGGTCAAACAGTAATAGACATAAATCTCAGTTAGTAGAATTCTTGCCTGGCTTGCAAGAAAACCTGAGTTTGAATCCTGGCACTACATAAAACTAGGTGTAGTAGCACATACCTGTTAGCCCAAGAACTTAAGAGGTGAAGGTTGGAAGGTGAGAACTTTGGGGCCATTGTCAGTCTGGGCTACATAAGACCCAGTCTCAAAGAAAGAAATCAAGACTGCTGAAGGATTCAAAACAAAACATATCGCAGCTATTTTGGGAGGCTGAAGCAGCATCATCACACATTTTAGGTTAGCATGGGTCAACACAGACAGACAGCAAGATACTGTCTCAATTAAATAAATATTTAAAAATAGATTGTGTGAGAAAATGCTTGCTATCAATAGGACAAATCAAGAGTAAAGTACCTGCCATGCTATGCACGCATAAGGACCTGAGTTCAATCCCCAGAACCCACATAAAGGTATACAGTAAGAATCAACTCCAACTCCAGAAAGTTGTTCTCTAAACAGCAAAAATAAGGTATTACACATATGCCCACATTCATACATATCACCCCTAAGCATGCACACACACACTTTTTTTTAAAGCCAGCAGTTTGGTAAACTCTAAATAAAAAAAAAAAAAAAAACCTTGTTCAAAAAACAAGATTTAAAAAAAAAAAAACCCAAGATGTACAGCTGGGTGTGGTGGCACAGAAAAAAAACAAGATGTTTGGCTCAGCGTTGTGGATCAGCCTGGCCTACAAGAATGAGTTCCAGGAGAACCGGGATACACTGAGAAACCCTGTCCCAAAAAAACAAACAAACAAACAAACAAACAAAAAAAACCCCAAATTACAAGATTCCCAAGAAACAACATCTATGGCTGTCTTCTGGCCTCCACATAAACACACACATACACGCTCCCACACACATAAATTCTTCAAAATATGCAAATTCACAATTAACTTATCAGTAACATCATTAATAAAATAACCCACCTGTACAATAATCTTTTCCAGACAAGGAAATTCTTAAGAATCCTTAAGCGTCACTGACTATCACTTATAGTCGTTATATTTTTCTTCATTTATATACTTTAAAATGTAACTTTAGTCAATTTAAAAACACTTTTAAGACTTAAAGGGAAATAAAAAGGACTTCTAAGTTATTTGACCAGTAGAATTAATTTTTTTTAAAATGAAGAACACGAAGGATAAGAGCAGGAAGAGGGGAAAGAGAAGGAAGGAGAGAAAAGAAGATAAAGGAAAGGGAAAAAGGAGAGGAAGGGAAGGAAGGAAGGAAAGGAGAAAATGGAGGCAGTAGTCAAACATAGATAAGGTAGTTATACAATGCAAATGACCTGTAATCGTGAAAAAGTGATCAGCAGCCATTTCTATCAACTCACCGAAATATAGGGGTGTGGCCAGGCTTTGGTTTGCTCCAGGTAAAGGGAGAAGGAACTGAAAGAAATTGGTCACCAGATGAATCTTTCTTTAAAGGATACTGAGATCCAAGGCCATCATCTACTGAAGTCTCCCGGGATGGTGATAAGCTCCCTGGATCATCTGAACAGATCTCTAATTTTCCTGGTAGTATGGCAGCTTGATCTTCAGAAGTCTTCCTTGTTTTCAAAGGGATATCAGTCTCCACAGAGTACTGAAAAGGAAACGGTGCAGAGCCAAGGCCTGACCCAGTATGGACAGAAGCAGTAAGCCAGGTATCTTCTGTTACACTTCCTCTAGGGGAGTGACCAGGGGAAGGAACAGGTGAGTGATGAGGTGAAAGGGAACCAGCGTAGCATACTTCAGCACTGGAGTGCCGTCGTTTACCACAGGGAGAAGTGGGCCTTGATGAAGGTCCTGAGGCTGGTCTAGGGCTCAGCCAATTCTCATCAGTGATACTGGATCTAGGAGAGTGGCAAGGAGATTGCCTAGGTGACAAGGAGTGTCCAGGTCCATACTGCTGATGCCAGGAGTCTTCTCCAGGGCAGCCTCCTGGAGAGCCACCTGGAGAAGTCAGAGGTGAGCCAAGAGTAAATCGAGCAGCAGCTTCATTCAACTCTGAGTCCACATCATCATAAATGTGTGAGAGAGATTCACAAGAAGATGCATCTGAGAACCAGCTCCTAGAAGAAATGCTGCTGGCAGGACTAGGACTAAGGGAAGATTCCCGGTAGGATGGCTCAAGTGGAAGATAGAGATGATCTCTAGAAGGCCTTTCCAAATATTCCCTTTCTGGGTCATTTATATGTAGGTCATCTTCATGTGCATCTGTTCCTTGATGACAATTAGGAGAGATGGATGTAATTTGAATACTTGGGCACTCAAAGGGCTTGGGACCACCTAATGGGCTATATTTAGATTCAGGAATATCACCAGTTCCTTCATAAGTTTTGTGACCTTGGAGTTGAAATGATGGTGACAAAACAGAAGAGTGAGGCTGCGGCAGTCCATGATGTGGTGAACCAAGTGATGAGTTTAAAGTAGATGGAGGTGGATCTACATTAAAGATGTAAATGGGTGCACAATCATCTGGCTCAAGATCTATGAAAAAGAAAAAAAAACACACAACCAAAAAGGTCAACATAAGAAACTGGAAGATGCAAGTGTATAAATTACTAGATAAAAAAGCAGTAATAACCCTGAGAGAAAAAATCTGGACACCAAAATGCATGTCATTAGTTTACTAACAGGCCGGGTACAGTGATTCTTATCTGCTAATTCAACACATAGGCAGGAGGACTACTGAGAGTCCAACGCCTATCTTAGCTAAGTTGGGGAGTTTCAGCTTTAGGTTTTTTTTGTTTTGAAAAAAGGTTTTTCTGTGTAGCCCTGGCTGTACTGAAACTCACTCTGTAGCCCAGGCTGACCTTGAACTCACAGAGATATGTCTGCTCTTATGAGTACTAGGATTAAAGGCATGTGCCACTCCTGCCTAACCAGCTTAAGCTATCTGATCAGATCACACATCTCAACAAGAACAATGGTTGACTTTTTTAATGCATTTATTTTCGAAGATATGCATGAATATTACATATGAAAATAATTACGTGTGTGAGCATAAGTATATATGCTCTCTCAAACACAAATAATAACAATAATAATTTTTAAAGCCACAGAACTACAAGATAATTGGACCAGCAAGATGGTTTTAGGGAAAAGATGCCCCCTGCCAGGCCCAATGACCTGAGATCAAGCTCTGGGGTCTACATATATATATATATATATGTATGACAGAACCACCTCTGTACATTGTCCTATGACTTCCATATGAGCACTGTGGCATATGCACACACATATAAAAAAACTATATTTAATTAAAAATTTTAGAGATTTTATTTCATTTTTTTGTGTGTTTGCCTGTATTTATATTATACACCCCATGTGTACAGTGCCCTTGGAAGCCAGAAGGCAGCATCAGGTCCCCTGGACCTGGAGTTATAGAAGGTTATAGTCACTTTGTGGATGCTATAAACAGAACCTAGACCCTCTACAAGAGTAGCAGGTGCTTTCAACACTGACTCGTCTCTCCAGCCCTAAAGACCTTTTTTTTTAATGATAGAAATTGTGCTGTATTTGGCAATTGTAGTTCAAGAATGAATGAAAAAGAGCCTTTGAAAACCACCTTGGCAGCCAGGTGGTGTTGGTGTATGCCTTTAATCCCAGCACTTGGGAGGCAGGTATAGGTGCATCTTATGAGTTATAGGCCAGCCTGAGCCTGGTCTACAGAAAGAGTTTCAGGACAGCCAGGGCTACACAGAAAAGCCCTGTTTTGAAAAACGAGAGTGGGTGGAAAGAGAAAAGCATCTTTGGACTGGGAGGGCATGAGGGTTCTTCATACTAGATTTTAGGAGGCAGAAGAATTGCCAGTTCTAGGCCAGGCCATGATTCTGAGACCCATCTAGGCCACACAATGAGATTCTGTCTCAAAAACAGTACAACAACAATAGATGGGGTTTTATTACTTACTGGTGGTTTGTTATCTGTTCTACCACTAACATTGACTTTGCCTCTTATTCACATCACTTACTACCTACAGGTCTCAGTTTCCTTCAGTAAAATTCAAGACTTTTCTTTTAGGAAGTGTATATAATTAACAAACATATCTTCTTCCTTGATAGTCATACCATCCAGCATTCATGTTTGGCCGGGTACAGTGGCACACACCTGTAATCCCAGCACTCAGGGAGGCAGAGGCAGGCAGATCTCTCTGAGTTTGAGGCCAGCCTGGTTTACAAAATGAGTCCAGGACAGCCAAGGTTACATAGAAGAAACCTGTCTCAAAAATACCAACCCCTCCCAAAAAAAACAAATAAACAAACAAATTCATGTCTGCACACAGCAGACCAGTTTACAAAAGCCACTAGATGGGGCTGGAGAGGTGTCTTATCAGTAGAGAGCTCTTGCAGAGAACCTTGGTTTGATTTGACTCCCAGCACCCATACTGCAGCTCACAAGGGCCTAAAACTCTAGTCCCAGGGGATCTAATGCCTTCTTCTGTGGGCACAAGGCATGCACGTGGTACACTGACACATACCAGGCATAATATCTATACACATAAAGTAAAACAAAAAAAGCAACCAGACACCACTAGATTCGTTTACCTAAACAGAAAATAACCAACTGACAATTTAAAATTAGTTGATTATTAATCTCCATATATTTAGAATTTTTACTTACTCCCTTGCTAAGTACCATGGCACAATCTGTTATCTCCATAAATTTAGAATTTTTATTTACTCCCTTGCTAAGCATGGTGGCACAATCTGTGTAATCCTAGCACTCAGTTTAGGCAGTGGGATAGAGTTCAAGACTAGCCCTAGCTACAAAGAGAAACCCTGTCTCAGAATAAATAAAAGTAAGATGGATTAAGTTAAATAAAACCCACCTCTTGCTTTTTTATATTTTTAAATTTATATTATTTATATTAATTCTGTTTTTATTTAAAGATTTATTTTTAAAGATTTATTCATTTTTTATTTATACAGCGTTCTGCCTGCACACCAGAAGAGGGCACCAAATCTCCTTATAGATTTGTTGGGAGACACCATGTGGTTGCTGGTAATTGAACTCAGGACCTTTGGAAAAACAGCCACTGCTCTTAACCTCTCAGCCTTCTCTCCAGCCCTATTACATAGTTTTTAATACTAAGCAAGTCCTACCAGAGACTTACCTATACTAGCAACTATTATATTCTTCATCATTATACAATCCATTTAAAAAAACAAAACTCATTTTTACTTAAGAATGTACTTTAAGCCAGGCACAGTGGCGCACGCCTGTAATCTGTAATCCCAGAATTTGGGGAGGCAAAGGCAGATGAATGAATCTCTGTGAGTTTGAGGCCAGCCTGGTCTATAAGGTGAGCCCAGGACAGGCCAAGGCTACACACAGAAACCCTGTCTCAGCGGTGGGGGTGGGGAGAAGTACTTACAAAATCTTTTTTGATTGAAAATCACCCATAAAAGACTATAGTTTCACTGTAATGTAATTATTATACCAGTTATTTCAGTGTTTGATTAATGCTGAAATTCATGCCTTCTTCCAAGTAACGTGTAGATAAAAACAAGCACATACAGAAATGATGTCTTGAGGCTGACAGAAACGGTTCATTGTGTAATAGTACTTTCTGTGTTGGGATGAGAACTTGAATTCAAATCACCTATGGGGGAGGGCATGTATGTAACCTTAGCACCAAGGGCTGAGAGGCAGGCAGGTCTCATGAATTCCCAGCAGGTGATACAGCCTAGCTGAAATGGTGAGCTTTTGGTTCATAGACGAGAGACCTTGTCTCAAGGCCCTGAGGTGAACAGCAAAAGAGGAAAATCCTGACATCCTCCACTAGCCTCTTCATGCATGGGAACATGGATGGAGACACAAACACACACCTTAAAGTAGTACAAAAACAGGAACACCAAAGATAATGTACCGTTTCATCTTTTTCCCATGTGTCCAGAAGTTCCAACTCTGAAAATGATAGCAGCCATTCCAAGCACACTTTTTAACAGTTGTAAGATTTCAACTCTAGACTTCACAAATCTCCAGAATTACTTAATTTCTTAAAATGTTCTATCAGCCACCAGAGGGCCTAAGGAAAGCAGAGAATAATCTAGAGAACACAGATAGCATGCTCATGTCTTTACTAATAGTAAACCAGGGGCTGGCAAAATAAAATACAGCCTGTGAGCCAAATCAGTCCTACCACCTGTTTGTTTTCCTTTTTTTTAAATGACAGCCTACAAACTAAGAATGGTTTTTAAAAGAAACTGTTTTATGAGATACAATAATGTGACTCAAATTCTGCTGTCCATAAATAAAATTTTATTGGAACTTGGCCACACTCAATGTGCTGTCCATGGTTACTTTCCACAAAGATAGAGAAGAGTAACCATAAAAAAACCACATAAATAGATAGCACAGTGCTGCTTGAGACACAGTAATATGGTTTTGTTGTTTTGTGGTTCTCAGAACTGAACCTAGGGTGTTACAAATACTGGGCAAACATACTACACCAAGCTTATACCCAGCCATTTTTGTTATTGTTTTTGAGACTGAGAAGTAGGGGAGAGAGTGTCTCACTATGCATCTCTGACTGGTCTGCAAAGCTGGCCCAAAACTCTCTATATGCGTTCAATTCACAGCGAACCTCCTGCCTCTGCCTCTTGGCAAACCCCAGTAATTCCAGAACATGGATGGCTGATGCAGAACTGCTGAAAGCTCAAGACAGCTTGGGCTACACTACAGAAAATTCAAGAGCAACCTAGACTCTATAGGAAGACTCTGTCTCAAAAACAGAGATGGAAGAGGGTGGGGAAAGAGACCCTCCCTCAAAAGAAAAATAAAAGCAGCAACAACAATCAATTAATAAATTAGCAAGATGAACGTGGTAGCAAATGCTCATACTCCCAGTACTGGCAAGTAGAGGCGAAAGGTTAGAAATCCTAGATCACCCTTGGCTATATACACCTGGCTCCTCAATCCAGCTCAGTGGCTCATCTGAAATTCCAATACTCAAAGAGGCTGAGGCAGGAGAACTGGCAAAAGTTCAAGGCCAGCCTGAGCTATGTAGTGAGTTCCAGACTAGTCTGGGCTACTATCTCAAAAAGCAAAACAACAAAAAGAACAACTATGGATTAAGTAATTCTTCCCAGTTAAATATTCATGAGGAAAAAAATTGTCTATATAAAAACTTGTATACATATGTTTATAACAATATTATCTGAAATGGCCAAAAGGTAAAAAATTTTTTTTTCAAATATTTCAAATTTTTTTTCAAATATACCATTGAATATGGTATCAATGAAATATAATAAGGAAGAATAAATGCTGTGGTACCACACACTGCAACCCAACATACTTAGCAGGCTAAAGCAACATAATAAGACTCTTTCTCAGTAAGAAAAGAAATGCTAGTCAGGCGGTGGTGGCACACGTCTTTAATCCCAGCATTTGGGAGGCAGAGGCAAGCGGATCTCTGAGTTCGAGGCCAGCCTGGTCTAAGGGGTAAGTTCCGGGACAGCCAAAGCTATACAAAGAAACCCTGT